ACTTTCGGCCTGATCGAGGATGGTTGTAACGTTTCGAATGTGGGGGAATTAGGAAAACTGTTGCACCAGTATCAACCAGGAATTGTCGGCCGCTTTTCATATCGTCGAATTGGAATTAGGTTTATTAAGTGAATTTATATGGCGCTGTGAAGATCTTTTACTGCGCCCTAGGCGAAAAAAAGGACCCCGACTGGAAAAGGCACAGGGCTGAACGCAGTTGCGTGCTAGATTTCCATAACGTTGATGATACCAGCAAACTGTCGGTGCATTGAGTCGGTGATTTCTGTAGTTGGCGTTGTTACTAGATGATGATTGATGATTTTGCAACAAAAGGGCTCTCGATGGATTCACAAGACTCGTGCGCTCTCCGTTTCTGACACGTACAGGATGTTGAGTTAACGCATTAGAGCTAAGAGAAGTAGGTGGTGCAGCATCCGAAGACCAATGTGTAGGGTTATGCTTCATATTGTCAAGTTCCTTTCGAAGATTACTAACTTCGTTAGCTAACTTCGACATCATTGAGCTAAATTCGACATGGAAAGAATTTTTACTGTTGTCGACGCTATAGTCGGGGTTTGATGCATGATTTTTATAAGAAATGTTATCAGCAGATTGTAAAGATCGTCTGGCGAATATACTATCAGCTCGATAGGCTAAAATATCGATGGTATCATCCGGATGGGCAGAAAGAGCTGAAACAATATCTGGCGGTAGTTGCTGAAAGAACATCTCCTTCAAAAATTCCTGGTTGGTGTTGGGAGCGTCATTTGGGCAAAAAAAACTGCGTAGCTTTCTTAAAATTTCGGATGGTTTGAGATTAGAGCATCCGCCGTTGTAGATATCTCGTATGCGATCTCCAAGCGGGACGGAATAAATATTGATCAGAAGTTCCCGCAAAAGTTGATGACAACTGGAATGATGCTCGCCTGGTAGACGCGAGTGTATGGTCTCTAATTGACGGTCGTTCAGGCACCGAATAACATAGCAATATTTGTCCACATCATCGTTTATCATTCCATGCGGAATCCTGCTTCAGTTGATGTAAACCACGAGTCAGGGGAATGGGACCAAAACTCGTTAATTTGGAGTGATGGACGCGGTTGATATATAAACTGCGGTTGTGGAAGGACCTGACCGACATTACCATTGAGAAAGCCGGCAATTGGTATGCTACTTACATCTATTTGTGGCTCAGACTGATTCATTGCACGTTCTGGTGATTCGTTGCTATTATTATCAATTAGAACCAAGTCAGTCTGCGTGCTTTCGAATGAAAATTGTCTTTGAGTAAAATTACGTTGCATCTAATAATGGCAACGTAAATAAAAACATTGGGCTAAAACGCACTCGATAAAATAGTCCTTTAAAAGCTAATATATATAAAGGTCTTAAAATTGATAAAATCAGTCTGTTCCAGCAATAAAATCTAAAACCTTGAATCCGGTTTCTTGAGGTTGAGGCTTGAAGTTGAACTCGTTCACGTCGGGAAATCACCAACTTTATGTAGGGTTCATGCTGTTGTTCCCTAAACTCCGCGTGCCGAGACTGTGCTTCCTTATTCCTGTCCGCTTTCAAGTCTCTAGTAAAATGTGCAAGTTCTTTGTTGTATGTTGTATTAAAATAGCGACGTTATAAAAGCATAAAATAGATATTAAACAGTAAAATAACTTAACTCAAAAATGAGGCAGATGCTTGGAGTAGTAGTAGGTGCGTGTCGCGAGAGATCCCCGAGTTGAGTGTCCATCTATCAAAACAGAAGCCAAAACGTGGCAGCGCGTCACAGGTCATGTGACCCGAGCCTAGATGTCGCTATACACACATGTGGAAGATTACTACAATTGCACATACGCAGGTGAGGCACTGTTTATTGTTTATATGTGATAACGCGTGAAGAGATCCACTGTAACTCAAAGAAATGTCTAAAATTAGGATTCAGTATGATGGAAATGATTGGCCACTTTCTTGTAAGCAATTAGAACAGTATTTCATTTCGAATGATAATGCCGATGAGAAAAAGGTACCAACGTAAATTGAAAACTTACGTACTAAAACCTACATGTAATAGGGTGTCTCAAAAATGTCGTGTCCACTTGTCCCCCTTGAAATTTTCCAGGATATTGGGGATTGGGAGAAATATTATTTTAACCACGTAGCAATGCTATTATTGCCGATTTATTCAAGTGTTTAGGTATCAGTGTTTTATTCCTAGTCCCACGTGTTCCACTTACGGGTAAGGATTATTATATTTCTAATTTTGAAAAAAGCGCGCCAACACCTTTTTTGTAAATTTAGAATTGTCGAACCAGATAAGTACGACTGGTAAATTTTGTATTCTATGGAAATTTTCCAAGATATTGAGGACGGGGAGAAATATTATTTTTATTTTGACCACGTAGAAATGCCATTATTGCCGATTTATTCAAGTAATTACTAGCAGTGTTTTATTCTAAAGCTGGGTTACGTGAATTCTCAACACTGAGTATTAGAGAGTATTACCAATTTGCGGAGTTTTTAATTACTTATCGATTTTAATCGGTAAGTATGTTGATAGGTATTTGTCTGTCTGTTTGTCTGTTAGATGCACGCGATATCTCACGAAAGCGAAATTCTGCATTTGCATTCATTATATGTCGGACTAGAAGCCTATTGATTTTAGATAAATTATGTCGTATAATTAGCGAGTTATTTATTAATTAGTGATGGGACACAAGGTGTCACTATGGAATAAGAGCGCTGTTTTGGGGACCACTAACTTTCGATCGATGAGTCCTCGGTCTCTGACCGATATTCTCGTTATTATTATTATTTAATACGAAAGTAACACGGACACGATATAAAATTAAAAGCATAAAAATCAACTATTCACAAATATCGCATTCCGGGGTCAGTGATACTGTTCGCTTAAAACTGGGACCTTAATTTACAAACTGTGATACAAATCCTACAAAAAAGATAGAAAATCAGCATAAAATTAATTTGTATTGTGAATGCACTTCTTAATAGTTGTCTTTGACATCGTCGCCAATGTGAAATCGAAATTTATGTTCAAAAATTAAAAACCAAACTGCGATATCCGCCGTTGCAAGAGAATTAATATTTACTAGTGTACTAGTTTACTAGTTATTTACTAGTAATACTAAAACTTTAATGCGGCCTTGGATTATGACACAATTAAAAAATAAAAAAAATCGCTGCATTGCTGCGACGTTTTCAGTCTTCAAGTAAATTCCGAAAAATAAAATTGTCACGGCGATCGTTTCGGCGGCCGACATCCCAAATACGGTTGTTTGAAATGACAATACTCAGTATTCGGTGTTGTGTTCGTTGAAAATATTCGAATAATTCAACTAAAAAAACTATTTGCCCACCACTAATCACGACGCATGTGAATTATCATTGAATGGCAATTAAAAATCAATTTGTTTAACATTAAAATCCAAGTAATAGTTTCGCATTTAATGCACTTGATCGGCGCTACATGCGAGCGTGTTTTTGTACGCTACTGACATCTGCGAGTTACACTTCTCTCAAAATTAATTCTCACGATTTATAATGTTCTATTTCAAATGCGGGTACTGCTGACTACGGATTAATGGTCGAAATAACAGTCTATAAACCTAAAAATATATATAGACACAATATAAAAGCGGACGGTCCGCGACAGAAGTTCAGTTGGAAGAAATGCTCAAAAACATCGTATAAGTGGAATTATAAGCTAAGTAAACTCCCTTTTATATTTTTAGTTGGGCTTTAAGAACAATGCTCCAGTGGGACAAGCAGAGAAATTGTGAGACAAGCAATATAAGTTTGATTAAATCAGGAAGTGTGTGGAACGAAACTGACAAGTGTGAGGCAGGCACGATATCTTTGTTTCAATCAGAACATGTACGTAACAAGCAGGACATCAGTGAGACAAGTAGGCATAGTGGGCGACAGGCGGAAAAATTCTGGTACAAACAATAGGAGTATGGGACAAGCAATACAAGTATTGTAAAAGCAAGACAAATGTGGAAAACAAGAGTATTGTGAGACAAGCAAGTATATACAATCAGGAGGTGTGTGAGGAAAGTTAAAAATGTGTGAATCAAGTCGGGGACAAGCGGTACTAGTCTGGACAAGCATTACAAATGGCCTATCTGGACAAGTAAGAATTATGGGAAAAGCAGGACAAGTAGGGGAAAAATAAAAGGTGTGCTGCAAGCAGAACATGTGTTTTACAATCAGGAAAAGTGTTAGCCAAGCCTGATAAGTGTTGAAGGAGCAGGAAAAATGTGGGACAAGTTTGACAACTCTGATATAAGAAAGACAAGTGTGAGACAAGCAGTATATTACTGCTTCCCTAACAAGTATTCATTCAAAATGTAATCAGGGAAGCACCATAACATAAACTAATTCATGCTTCATTTAAAAATTCTTGTATATGTTGAACAAATATATTCATATGGATTGAAATATTCAAGTGACACAAATTATTATTATGGTTTGCAAATAAGCGAAGCCAAGGACAGTCGGTATTTCCAGTCGATCAGCCAAGCAAGTTCTAACCGAGCTCGACGTTGCTTAGCGTCTGACATCTGTTAATAAGAACGAGTGTAATCAACGTCTTGTGAGCCTAGACGTCAATCACACTTTTTATAAGACTATATATATTTAGGTAGCAACTTTCAAATGTAGAAACTGCAAAAGATGCAAAGATTGTATACAAAGTTCAATCAGACGAAATTCCCAGAAAATAACAAATAAGTGAAATTAATAGATAAGTACCACATTTTTGATGGTTTAAGAATAATGTTGATAAGTACCACATTTTTGATGGTTTTAAGAATAATGTTGCAGCGGGACAAACGTGCTGAATTATTTTCCCGTCACATACTAACATAATAATTTATGATATATATTGGTGACTATATCGACTTAATACTATAAAGATTTGCTACATTGTTTGCAGCATTGATGACATTGTCATTTCACCAAACCTTAACCCATATTTCGCCAAATCCTTTTAAAACAACTCTACAAAACTTTTTATTCTATCTTTTCGAACTAGAAAAAATAAAGAACACTGAAAATATAGAACATTACACTGAGGCAAAATTCAACGGTATATAGACGGAAAACAAAATTTTTATATGAGAAAAAATATGTACATTATAGAATGTTATGAAAACGGCAATAGATGTAAATAATCTGTGAACAAATATGACAGAAACAACGAATATTTGTTTATCCTTGATTGTAATTCCATTAAATTTAATAATATTGCTTCGAAGACCAAAATTACAAACATCTGAAGAAAAAAGTCCGTAAAATTTCGACAGGAGTAAGACTATATTTATTTTAGGAAACCAAATTTATTCTACTCATTACTCATGGTTGAAAACATAATTTTGTATTTGCTGTCACCATGTGATCGACCCCAAAATCAAAGAATTTTTCATTGCATTCAATATCTGTCTGTTTAGCGTGATTAAGTTTAATGAATGCAAGTAATTAGCAACGTGAAGAAAGCATGAAAAATAAGTTAAAGAACGTTTATATATCATTATTTGGACATCACTTTTTATCCGCTTATGAGCAAATGGAGACACGATTGACAGCTGTCAAGACCTCTGCACACCTTGCATTGATATCGCAATCTCCCTGCAAAGCAATGGAATAGTGTAATGTAAGTTGAGTAATCATAAAAAGTTAGCAATAATGTAGGCCAGGGTGGTCCAAGGTTGTGAGGTTGAAGGGCCGCAAAAACTTATGAGGAGGTCTCGCGGGTCGCAGTCGGAGAAAACCCAAAAGTGATCAAAACATCGCGAGTTTACTCACTTTAAATATAATTAAGAATGAGAGTTTATCGTTCTAATCAGTTTTTCAAGGAAACTATATGAAGCCTCCATTTATTTTAAAATGGCTTCCCGAGAAATATCATAATATTTTCGGTATCTTTTCTCGTGTTCAGTTTGGTAATGTTGCTTAAAATTATATTCTTTCGTGACGGATATTACTTGAAAACGCACCAGACATTGTGGTTTAACGTTGTTGTGACTAAGAAAATACGTTTCCTCTCAGTTTACTTTGGTCACCTTTTTTCTGCACGGATTGTATGATGAATTGGTATATTTGAAAAAATTTATTACTTGTAGCGTGAGCGGGCTTAGGGCTATCGTCAAAAAACACCAATTTCGTCTAAGTTGGGACCTCAGAACCAGATAATAAAAAACGCTTGATTCCGCGGCGCTAAGTCAGCTCTGCGGTTCGTCACTGCGGTCACGTGGTCAACGCTTGAAAATAGAGTAGTGTTTTGACTACAATAAAGGCACAAAACGTCTCTTCAAATGAGGAGTCACTTGACACGAGCTCATCTCATTGGCCTGGTCCTGTTTGTACAAGACAATTGATTCTCCCTTTACCGATCACAGGACCTCATCTCCATATAACCACCGTATTGACGTTTATAGATACAACAATGAAATTCCGTGATTTTTAACAAACATCAATCCCGATATCGGGATTGGGAAAGGGACTATTCCCAGTTGGAATGGTTTAGAAATAAATCAAGTATGTTCTGCTAATAAATACAAATATCTGCCAATGGTTTAGTAGTGTACGCTAAAATTATTCTGCGGGCCGCACGGAATGTGTCGGCGCGCCGCAGTTTGGACCACCCTGATGTAAGCTATAATAAATTTGTAGCATAAACTATGGCGCAATTGGCATTTTTGATTGAAATAATTTTCAGCTGCATTCAACGACATCGGGGTTTTCACACTTTAATCCCCCAGATTTTTCAACCTCGATAAAATACTATCATATGCCCTGAATGTGTAAAAATGTACAACGAAATAGTCCGCAGTTTTCTCAATTCACTTTTAAATCCTATGAAAATCACTGCATTCTATTTGTTCACACTTCCAAAAACAATAACTTTTGATTTACCATTTTTCCACGTATTACAATCTTTCATTAAGCAGCATATGGTTTGCAGAAATCTTTCATTTTTCTCGTATATACAGGTATTGCGCTGAACACCCCGACCAGTGAGTATGTCATTGTCGTACAATTGGTCTGCATCGTACATTGAATCCGCATGATCTACTGCCGCTTGGAAGTGCAAGGTAAAGCATTCTTCCAGCCTTTCTGGCGAATATACATCGCTGTTGTTCATACCATGAGCCTATGAAACATAATTTTCAATAAACGTTATGAAGTTTATGCGGTTACTTTTTTCGGAAACTAACGCATTAAATAATAATAATAATCACGGGTTGATAGTGGCCAAATTTTAAACGCTTTTTTCTTTTTGCTATACTATTTAGAATATATAATATGGAATTATGCTATAAGAATTTGTCCTGATCGAAGACCACAAAATCTAAATTAATTATGTGTTTGTCTGAATATTTGAAAAACCTCCCAGTTTTTCGGATAAAGAGCCGGGTAAAAAATTATTAAATAGTATTTAATATAATCATAGATAAAATTGTCATCGAACGGAAAATAGATAGATAAATAGAATCCATAATACGCCGAGTAGACAAAAATGCGTTGGTATTAAAAATAAATTGACAAATTAAAACAATACTTTAAGCTGTGAAACAAAAAAAAGAAGAAAATTGAAATTGCATTTTAATTAATTACCAGAACTTCACAACAACCTTTTGCCCTCGATAATTTTTTTCCTTTCAAGTTATTCATTTCGTTGCAACCGGCTATTTGGTCTTCGTGCAATATTTCTAATGGAGAATCTTTAAACGAGATTTTAAAAATCGTTACAAATCACTGTTAGTGAGTGGTCGCCAAACAAGAATTATCTTCTCCAACGTTTAACAATTGGCGGACTTCAGTAGAAGAGAGAGGTGATTGGGTCTGGAGTTTAGTATCTCTAGCAACTTGTTTACTTGTCTTAGACGTCATTTATTCAATAAACTGTTTTAAATTGTTCATTTTGTTTAGGTCATTAGAACAAGTTATGATATAAATGTAAGTAGTACGATAAAATTGGAACGCTATATTACACAGATGAGGTCAGACATGCAAGTACATAGAGGCACATCAGTATAAAACTGATATTTATAAAACGACATAAACCTTGCACATACCAGGTCCTTCGCCTGAAGATACCGAATCCTCAAAACGTGCCATTGTGTCGTCATCTTCTTCGTATTCATTCACGCTGTCGCTATTAGGCGTCTCATCATCATCCTCACTTTCCAACGCTCTAACCGGAACATTGTCGTCGATGTTGCCATCTAATGGAAGATCAAGTCTAGTCCAAGAGTCGGGCACAACATCTTCACTGTTCACATTAAAACCGTTGGATTCGTGCGTTTGGTCGTAATCATAGCTTGAGTATTTTGATACTTCATAATTATGGTCCCCACTATAGTAATTGTATCCATGTGAATAATCATATGAATTGTCGGAATAATCTGTCGAGGCCTCAGCCACATCACCCGTTTTTTGATCGGATCGTTGGTACATATCAAAATTATCTTCTATGACTGCGTTTTCCTGACTTTTATCGTCAGCTGGCAAAGCAACAGATCCACAAGGATTTGAGCCGTCCGGACAAAGCCCTGTATAACAGGATTCAGTTCCCAATTCCTTGTCGCTGTCGCAAAATATTTCAGGGTTGCCAATAATTTCCTGAAATTTTATGTGATATATACAATTTTTTGAAAGTAACTACGATAATAAAAAGTTGTAAATTAAATATTTAGTGAACAAATAAATTCTGTGGAATAAAAGATATTTTTGAACTAACCATGGCAGTTGAATGAGCAATTGCTAACATTTCGATTGAAGTATGAGAGAAAGCGTTACGTTGTGATACACATAAACTTCATTCATGTTACATCTATTAAAAGTAGGCGACAGGAAAAGGGAGAATAATTTCACTAAACAGTGAGGAAAACTTGCACATTTGTAAAACACAATCACCAATAACTCATACGATGTTGCCTTTTTTTTAACAAATACATGGATAAAGAATTGCAAAAAACGTTCATACTCGAATTTCGCTTCAGCTTGTAGATTCATCCAGATTCAAGTTAGATTCATCTCATATAGTTCTTCGTTGAATTAAACGACAAAGCAATTTTAGTCTGTTTAAACATAGGCTATACTTACGGTGTTTGGTGCCTCGACCATGTGTATGCATTTTCTTGTTCGGAGTTTAATTCCGCATGAACCACAAGACGACGTACATGGTGACCATGCTGACCATTGTCCATAAACACCCTCAACTAAAATAAATAATTGGCTGTAATTTTTTATGCCCATGACGCGTCAATAACATGAATTCGCAAAATTATTCCGGGGCAATTTTTAACGGCTTTAATACATTACGGTTAATGTGATGATGTTGAGCCTATTCATTACCATATTATGGTGATGTTTTTTCTGCAAGCAGTCAACTAAACATATTGTGCAGATATTAGATTGGCAATACCAATCTTTTCTTTCCGTCATAAAATAAGTACTTTAATTTTCTGGCTGCTATGCATTCGTGGATAATTATGTTAGTTTAACAATAATTATATCTAACTGATTTCTCTTTTTTTGTGTGTTTGTGTTTTATGGTACTTACGTTAATGTACTCTACTTATGCATATTGTCTACCAGATGCCAATGAAACAAATTAAGAAACTGTTTTACCCTGGCAGCTTTCAAGATTGAGACACTCTTGCTTCACCTCCGACTTGCCTCTGCATTTTTGTCCTCCGTATTTAGGCATGGGATTATCACATGCCCTGCTACGAGATCGTGTCCCAGGTTGTAGAGAACATCTTTCAGACGAACAAGAACTCCAACTAGACCAAAGACTCCAGTCTCCATCGATTGGACACAATGCTAAAAATCGTGGAAGATAAAAAAAAAAGCACAGTCAAGATAAATTTAATTACTCATGAAATGTTTTGAAGTATTTCACGTTTTAATATGTGGTGCAATAGGTGTGAAAATAAAAAAAAAAGTACAAGATTTTAGACCACAAGACCACAGTCAATATTTTTTAGTTAACAAGTACAGCTAATCGACGTGACGTACATTGATGCGCTCATAACTGAATGTGGACAGATTTAAAATATTTTATTACTTTTTGACAAGCACTGTTCAACATCGCCGTCAGATCCTGAACATTCTCTTCCTTCATTCTCTGGGGCAGGACATGCGCAGGATCTACTTCTTTTTCGTGTCCCGATTGAATGATTACAGGTCGTGGTGCAGGTAGACCATGAGCTCCAGCTACACCACTTTCCGTCGACTAAACCAAGTTAACATTACATTATGAATTTTACACACTATTTCGTGTAGTTAATGGTAAACTAAATATTTACAGTTATAAATAATCAATGAATGACGGTCAGACGCAACCCTCTAAAAAGATTTATTGATAGTAGTGGAAGGAAGCTGATAATTTTCCTTCAAACTTACCAACACAAGAACCAACACTGCATGGATAAAAATCGATAGATTCTCCCTCGCATTCATCTCCCATTGGACTGTAACAAAATCGTGATCTCATCATGGTTCCAATTCCACAAGTAACACTACAAACACCAGATGTCACCCACGAGCTCCATTCTGCAGATTATAAACACCATATGTTAAGTGTTCAGTCATAAAATATTCGTTTGTTACTATACACCCATAACGTATGGAGCGTTAAGAACAATTCACTAAAATACGAGAAGAATAATTATTTAATTAATTATTAATTATAATTCCTTAATTATAATTAAGGATGCTTTTAGAAAAAGCATCTACTTATTAAAGCAGTGATTATCAACCGCCAGTCCGCGTCAGCCTTTCTGTCGCCAAATATATTTCAAAGTTATATCTCAATTGCAGGGCATTGATGGCCTATTTCGTGACTTATCTTCTATTGATGCGTAAACCAAATTTGGTCAAAGGTACTACTACATACATCCCAATCCTTAACGGCTGTACGTTGAGTTAAGTCTATGACGTAATAACGGCGAAAACCCAGATTGAGCCTACCATTGCGATACCAAGTTGATGTCGAAACATAAAGACTAGACATTTTCACAGTTTTATATATCGCTTGAAAGAAATATCCTGAGCCAAGTGACACATTCATTAAATTACCGCTGACTTATGTGAGAAAATTTGTAAGGAGGTTGAAAACCACTTCATTGCAGGATTTTAATTGCAAGACCCAATTGTCCTCTAAGGCTGAGGAGAATTTAAAAAAAAACTAGCTCTAAGGGTGTTTTATTGCAGTAAAAACAACAGTGCATATGGTTAGAAAAGGAATTGTGAAATATATATTTGTAAAATCCTTCGTCACAATGTCGAAAAATGCCCCTTTTATCAATATTCTTTGTTATAAAATTGTTGCGTCTGTATTTTTGTTCACATTGCAAATTTAATTTCATTATTAATTATAAATAAATAATTTTGTATTACAAGATTAATAATCTCTTTCTCAGAATCCGATAGACTTGCTCTGGTTATGACATATTAGATAAAATTTCGACATCATATTGAACTGAACGGATTAAAACGAGCATTAATGTTACGTTAAATTATGCTTCGTACCTGCATAAAAGCGTTTATTGTGACCAATAGTCTCTGGGGATAGCAATTGAATCCATACTTATCCAATAATACTTTCGATGTTTACAATTTTAAAATACCATGTACTGTTTATCGACGTATGCAGAATTGAGGATTTTGGATTTTGAGACAACGCTACCCGGATTGTGGCATAATTAAATTCTCTGTCATTATTTCATGGTATTAATCTTATAAAATATGACAGAGCTAAAGAAATTCAAAACATAAAATTATTAAAAATAAAAAACCGAATTATTTGTCGGGGCACAGCTGTCTTGTTGAGGTAGCGTGTAGGGGATTCACAATGAAAAGATTACCTTTTATCAATCGAGAGCCGCAAACCCGAACGGATAATTGCAATAGTTTTTAGGACTCAACTACCCTATAGCTACAAAATGACGCATTCAACAAAAATGTACAACAAAATCACAGATGTTTATCGGGATATAAAACAAAAATGACAATTTGGAAATTTTCAAAATTAAATAAAGTACTATCTGACACACAATGTTGACACTTCAAAGAATGAATCTTGCTTTTTCAATAGAATTTGCTTAAAGCCATGTATTATGTATGTTCATATATGTAGCGTGTTCATGTATTGTATTTCAACTACAAGCCATTTATACGATACAAATTTCGTAATGACTTGAACTTTAATACTGGTGTAAAGTTTTCGGAAGTAATTTTATCAGATTAACATCAAAAACATATTACGGTGACGCCATGTTTACGTGAACGCAAACGTGCGTAGAGTGACAAAACGGCACGTGATTTTCAGTTGCGTCACCGGAAACGTTTCCTATAGGCTCAATGACCTGGTTTTGATGAACTTCCCATATGCAATGATTTGCTTTCCTAATAAATTTCTATGTATTTGCCTGTCGGAATTATGCAATTAATGGCTCCATTCACCCAATTACAGTATTGAAACCATTATCTAATATATTATTCCAGGATATCCTAAAACCAATCATCGCAATACTTTCAATCATGATCATGTTATCGCCGAGTAGTAAAATTTTCTGAAACTGAATTTACTTTCTCATTTTTTCTACATCCAATTGCACTGTACAAAGAGTTAGATAACGGTCTATATTTTCCTGGTATATATTAATTACGGGCCAATTTTTCGTTTGGAAATACAACATGTATGAACATGTATCTACAACCTGAATGTATTTAGATCCCATCTCATTGATAGAAGGCCTCAAAAGATATGGATAAGTGGGTCTCATTGAAAATCCTATAGTGACATGTTACATATCGTTACATGTTGCTACACTGAAAAACGTATTTGCGTATTTTTAAAGCAATTTCCATTAGCAGCAGCAAGTATATTCCCCCGTAAGCAAACAACTAGTTTGTGCATTATCAAAATTCGTTTACTTGTGATGGCTTAACATTCAGGAGGGGTTTACATCCAAATGCAAACAAATGCGGTAATTTTCACGATGATATATTCGAAAAGATTGACCTACTTGCACATGGTCCTATTTGACATCGTTGCATTTGACGTGGAAATCCACTACATGGGTCTCCTCCACAACGTGGAGAGGGATTTGAACAAGTCCTGGTACGATATTGCAATCCATCTCCGCACGATTCACTGCAGTCGCTCCAATGAGACCAAGAAGCCCAGTTACCATCATCTAGGAATATAAAATGAATATACTGTCTTTGAGTATTTTAGCTAATGAGTTTCGAAAGGGATAGAATTATCAGTATGGTCTACTCGAACTGCTCAAGCTAATTTGCGATAATGTCGAAATTATGCCGTCTGAATGGTTGTATATTTTATCAGAACACTTACAGTAAAATATATGTAATATTTGCGTATTTTGTATATTTCATGCAGGAAACCTTGCTGTATTTTAAGAACCCTACATCCTCAATTATCGGAAAATATTTATTCATTAAATAACCTAAATTATTTTCAACAAAATATTGGTTTGAATAGATGATCTAGTAGCGATATATTGAGTATTCGAAACACAGTTTCAGAAGTTTGTATAACTAATGTATTTAAATTGATGTAGTTAAAACGTACCAGGACAGCAAGTTTTCCAAACGCAAGTCCGAGTTTCTGATTGTCGTCGTCCTCTCACGCCGGCACAGACCCCGTTGCTACAATACCTGATGCGCCGCTGCTCTCCTCTGCCACATGACTTACTGCAACGTGACCAATCACCCCACGGTGAAAGAAAACCTCGGATTGCAGAACAAGGCTAAAACAAGTCAACGCTGGTGTTTATTTTTGTGTTGATATAATGTTTCTCTAGTAAGTGAAATATTCGATCACTGTAGAATCAGACGAACAATGAAAATATTATATTATGTAACTGAATATAATCCATCTACCTTACAACTCGAGTCATCCCCCCATCCTGCTGCTGCTCTTCTACGGCAACAAGTAAGTGCATTTCTTATAAAAACATCCCGAAATGTGGGATTTCCTCCTATCGGTCTACGACAGATCGCCTGGGGAAATCCGTTGTGAGGTGGTATATATTGCTGATAGCAAAATCCTTCATCTAAATGTATAAGCAAAATATATTTAAAGAAAAATTCTTTCTCCTCATCAGGGCATTCTGTTTATTATTACAATATTTATATATATGTGTTATATATATATATATATATATGCATAAAATCTTGGTTTTTTCGTTGTTTATCAGGAGGTATTTGAAAAAATTTTGGCCCTCTCACCAAAAATTCTGTTTTTTCAATTACTGACGACATGTAAAGAACCAAAATAATCTGTATTTTGATAATGGTCATCTAAAATTGAAAAAAAATAAAAAAATTGAATAATAGATTGAATGCACTTCGTAGAAATGATGACCGAATAGGATTATTTGAGTGATTGTTTGAACACAAAGTTCATTTCAACGAGCGCACTTCCGGCTCACTAATTAATTTATTTATTTTGTTAATGGCATATGCGACCATAACATAAAGAGGGGACCGGAACAGAATTAATTGAATGTAATATTTACTTAAACTAGATATACAATATATGAAGCTCTTACCATGGATCTGCGAAAAAGCACCCGTTGCACACAATAAAAACAACAAAAAGGCAAATGTTCGTAACAGCACCATTTTTATATAATACAAGGTAGTATGATTGTAAAGCTATAACTATTGAAATACCTAAAATATAAATAAATATAAGAAATAAGTTTGTGTTAGAATTTTTTTATTTCTCATCTGCGCGATTTGGAATAACAACACCGGCTAACGTTACTGACTGATCCTGTTGGACTTCGTAAAAAATATGTTTTACGTCGACAGTCTAAATTTCGGTTTGGGCAGCCTAGCCTTTGCAAGTATTTCTGACATATAGTATGTACTGGTTTTCCATGCAACTGTGCAATTTGATAATGGAGAAAGTTTCCACAAACATGGGATCGTATGGGATTCTGTTAATATAATCTTTTAGAACGTTTCATTCGTATGTCCCCTCTAGCCTCTGTCTATACTGAAGCGCGAACCAAAAAATCGTTGGTTTATATGCATTTTGAGATGCCGTATTTTTATCAAACCTATATATTTTATGCGATGGAATTTTAAACAAAATTATTAAATTGTTTTATTTATTTACATACATAAGATGTAAAGAAATATTCCTACTTGTTGTACAAATACGGCAAAAAAATGTTTTGCAGCGCATTAGCCATATCGTAACAATATTACTCATGCTCTTAAATCGGTAAACCAGTCGCGCTTCCGTCTCCATATTGGTCATTTTCAGTTGCTTCCGCCGACATCTGATCAAAATTCCGACATTACTCATTCTTTTGTACTAAGCTTCGACTTCCTTTCTGGCTATCTTGAGTTTCGCGCAAATGCATTCCCCTAAATCTAATCAGCCCACGAAAGTTAACTAACACGCAATTCTCTCCCTCGCAAGTGTCCATCCATCAGTTACCTTACAACTTTGCAACACATACGCGTCAAGAACGGAAACAATTTTGAGATCTATTAGCCGCAAATACGCACTGCAACTACTCATAGGCTGCTCCTATGCTAGCTGGTGTCAAAAAAGTTCATGAGCCGTTCCGCGACCTATGCCAATTGTGGTTGTATAATAGTGAAGTTGTCAAAGATGTGTGCACCGTTTTGTCTGCGGCGTTGACGGTTCAAAATAATTTGTGATATCTAATTCTCACAATTAAATCCAAACTCATAGGATTGACTTTATTTCGTTATCAGTGGTTTTCGAAAATATCTAGTAAAATCGGTCTCTATGCAATAAGAGAAACTAGTCCACATAAATATAGTAGGAACTATTTGTTAAAAGTAGTGTCGTATATGATTGTTTAACGCTCATCTCTAGTCAACGTGAATCGGCTATTTGGTACATAATGTGTTACAGCCCTCTTTAGCATTCAAAATGAAATTCCTAGACCTGTTTTCTGTTATTATCCTTATTTTATACTTTTATGATACGTGATACGTTAGGATATGTTATTGTCCTTATTTCTCACCTATTTTAACCTAACCTGAGATAATCAGAATCGATGAAAACATATCAAAAAATTAATGGTGCGTCAATAACAAGATGATACTGAAAATTGAATTAGTTTTAAAAATTTTGTTCAAGGCAAAAGCACACGACCTGTTATTTTGTCATCTGTTTTCAAACGGTTTCGCGTGTTCGTGCTGCAGACACACAACGGATAATTGACAGTTAGTTAGTTTTCCTTACACATTATTTTCACTTTTCAATCAAACACACATTATGGATCTCTCAAAGATATACGATTTGTTCAGAAAGAGGTTGTTAAACAAACCAAATTGCCAGTAATGGAGTGTGGCGACGGAAAAAAATCATTAGGCGCTATCCTGTATATATCTTCGAAATATTGAGTAAAGAGAGATTTTAAAAGATTTTTGAAACATCTACACTCAAATTTGTACACTGCGCCTTAAGTGTGGGCCAGATTTGTTCCTATGGAAGATACGCAAAACCTCATTCAGTCCACTTTTGCCACTGATATCATAAAATATACATAAGCAATCATGTCATTTATTCTTGACGAACTCAATTTCGGATTTTCTCCTTTTCGTTAATATTACTATTGTTTGGTTCATCTTTTTGCATAAAAATTTATTCTGTGTTACCTTTACTCCGAATAAGGTTTAGACCAAATTTTTGTACTTCATCTGTATAACGTTGTATTGTATTCTGCTGAATTTCTGGTCTAACATTCAATGCTCTGTTGTATATCTAAATAATAGCAATACGACTTCCCGACAACAAAATGCAAAACTGTCTTTTGAGTGTGAAGATGGCATAATGCTATGGGCCACACATATATTTTGTTCGCAAGGAATGGTCGGAAGGAATATGATCGGAATACGAAAAATGCGCAGCAAGCGTCTTGTAATAACAATAGGATAGTTTCCCGCAACGTCTCGGCTATATATGCAAATTCTGTTCAATTCCAAGTAGTGTTTGAGTATAGAATTGCTTTAAATTTAAGCTGACATATTGTAAAGAGACGTTCTCAATATTCTATATAAGTCATGTTTATCCTGCATACCACACACTCAATAATTCAAATTTTGCTTTTGGTTAGCTTTCAATCGAAAATGTGGGATGTGGTTTGATCGTATTTTTAGCCGGGATTCGGCTATTGCAGTGTTATGTATATATATATATATCGTAAATATACGTATTGTATTTCATATATACTGGATATGTAACAACGATAAATTTACATATATTATATTTGGTTTGCAGACTGAAGTAAAACTGTTGTTAGCATGATTATCACTATTCTGATTAACCGATCTGTACGCACGACACAAATGCGGTAATTTTGCGTTGAAACTTTTTATTGAATTTAGTATATTTAATCAAATGTGGAAGATATACTTCAAGCAGGACCACAGCTGAACTGATTGGATGTCAATTATTCAGGATTTCGTTTATCTTGTGCATCTCTTATCCATTCAAGTGTCAATAGATTTGCGTGCATTATAGTCGTTTACCGGGCTAAACAAATAGTGTACGCTTCCAAAAAAAAAATTTTTTATCCTGTAGTTTTTGTTAAAATACCCACAATAGCGCTTCAGACACTGCAGGGAAACGATGTTTATTGTGAGCATAGTCCATATTTGTGAACAATGTAGTTAAAACAAGTGAAACGTTTCGAATCTCGCAATCTTAGCTCTCTATGTTTTTTATATCGCGGCGCACAAAAATGCTCTAATAAGCATTTAGTAGGGCGATATTTTATACAAGTCTTATAATGTTTTGGTCAATATGCATATCCACATATTTCGCCTGAAACATGAAGTCTTAAATAATTCAATAAAAAAATACTAGTCAATTTAGATAGCAGAAGTACGGAAATTTCAATAGAATAAATTTTTTTGACAATTTACTTTTCACATGTGCATATGTGTCCAGAGTAACGTCTCATGTAAAACAGCACTGATATCATTCCACACTTCAATCAGTCAACCAATACAAGTTCAAATGCCCACCATCCTCTCGGCACTTTGACGACACGAGTTTGGGCATGGAGCTGGTACCAGTGATGTTTATCATAGAGATAGGATTCTCGCTCAAATCTCCACAGATCGTTAGTTGTTACCATGTCCAACTCATTTATTGAAACAAAAAAAAATTATTCAAAAGAAAAGCGGTTGAAAATGATTTTAAAACGAAACATTTTTGATCGAATCATTATTATTAGATGTCACGCGAGACTCGGATTAAATTAAGTCAACACTGTGATGGAAATATGTATCGTACACGGCTGCCTATTACCTATCACCCATTGACTGCCATTGTACCTACAAGACAAAGCAATTTTGGTCTCAAAGTTTTACAAGAACTTCAGTCATGTGGAATTTACCACATCATTTCCCCGATCCTATTTGCCTTCTTCTTAAAGTCCCGCGATATTACCTAACAACGCGCAATTTTACACTATTCACGCTCAGGGAGAAATTTAATTTATTTCTGAGTATGACATTGATTTGGACAAATTGTCTTAAAATATCATAAAAAAGGCAGTTTCCTTTAAATTGCATAGACGCGAATTTTATAAATTTGGGTCGATTTTGGAAACAGGTGTTATGGTGTTAAGTTTGCTTACACCCACTTGGCTTTATCACATGGTATACCATCGTTCGAAAAATCTATAGACGGCGTGACAATTGATAATCTCTAGCTTATTAAAACCAGAATGTACCTGGTTATATTATGGTGAAGTCAAATTGTCACTTCGAATTCAGATAGGCATCAATGCATATACGTGAATGTTTAATTTGAATTTTCTCCATCAAATCATTCTACTACCTAAATATTATTTCAACTTAGGTCGAAATCTTTATTCGAAATACAAAGGTCTTTCAATTCGCAAGGTATTCGGATTTTGTGACGACTTGATTGTTTCCTGATTAGGCCATTTCAACTCAAAACAATCGCAACATAATATCATATTATTTACGTGGTTGTGAATACATCACTGCAAAACAATCCCCCTTGTTTTTCCGGTTTACTCTGAATCCTAACCATAGTGTGAGGAAATGATAATGCAAAATCACAAGTGACACAACAGCTTCCCCGAAAGTGCTACCGAGTCAAATATCATGTTATTCATTCAACGATACAAATTTCATTTTAAAATTTACAGAGAAGTATATTAGCACGAAAACACAAATACAATACCTTGACTAAGATATGAACCAAGAATAATAATATTGAGGAATACGAAGCATCATATAGATGCACGAAATGTCTTCAAACCATATTTTCAGAATAAAAATGTCGCGACCCACACCAGTCTTCATGTCATCACTCTTGTTCCACCTTACTACACTTGTTTAACACTTGTGTCATGCTTGTCATACAGTTCTGAGTTAGAAAGTGTTAAATGGTTGAAGTAAGCATATGAAATGGAATCCCTAAGGCAAGAAGGTTGGATTTAAAGGGTTTTATTCTTTTTATGCAATTAAATAGTCCGCTAAAACACTTTTCCATTTGTTATTATCGTTCATAAAAAAACAATGATCAAAATATCTTAAAATTTATTCCCAGCTTTGATTGGGAAGGGTTTTTAATACATGTCCCTTATTTAGCGCTAACCATATGCATTCTGCTTGAACCTTTGTACATGGTAAAAGACCGTATTAAGCGTTCTATATTAATTAAAAGTGGTGATTATATATTTGTTAGGTTAAAATGCACTCTTAGTGTAAATCAAATTTATATTGTATTTATTGGGATGTGCATTTCTTAAATTAACAACCATCATACGGCATATATATATATATATATATATATTTCATACGGTGACCGTACATTTGAACCCATGTGTATATCCACGGGTTCAATCTATATGCGGGTGCTAAAACCCATGGGTTAGGGTTAGTGTGGGTTCAACTATCCGAAAAACAAAAAAAATTCCATAGGTGCAATAGCATACAGGTGCAATTGCCATGGGTTCAAATGTACGTGGGTTCAAATGTAATGGAACCATTTCATACAACAACGACTCGTACGCCAGCCTGCCAACATGTAGTTTAAACGTTCCCGAAAAATGTAAATTTAATTATATCAACATTAAAGTATAAACATGCACTTATAGCTCACCCTTGTTTTATTGGTACCGAGGTTGCACTTGGTTTTTATTTGAAGCATTTAAATGATCAGATAACAGATTTATGCCCGTGTCGATATTGATACTGCTGTATTGCGGTAGGTCATTTGACCTCCTATCCAACGACTTGGGCATTAGTAACTTGCCTTTTGTTAGTATTTTTGTCCATTTTTCACGAGATTCGTTGCTGTCCTCATGCGCGGATGTCCATGATATTATACAACGTTTATTTTAAAAATCCTATCAGCTACATGCAGAAATTATTGTGAAGTTCACTAGATATTTAAAAACGAGAAATAAACCCACAGATGCTGGACTAACGCTGTCTTATTACAAAATATCAAAACGTTACATGAATAAAACAGACAGTCGTTTTAAATAAGTGTATTTTTTACAAACGTTTGATAAAAAATATCCCTACTAATAGTATAACACTCTGAAACATACAAATTTTACAAGTAATTGTTGTTTAATAGCAGAGAATAGAGTAGAGCAAAAAATTGACATTAAAGAGGCGATATTGTTTCTAGATAACAAAGCATGTCATATTTATACAAAGATAAATTTTACTCCACATATTTTAAATTTCATCAGGATATATTTTTTGTCAAATAAAAGAACTGACAAATTGAAAAGTTCAGAAGATCACTCACTGGTCTGGTCGTAGACAAACGTTAATTTGAAAAAAAACAAACTATGATTAACTGAGGAAAACTGGAACTATAATATTAAAACAAAAGTAAAAAAAAAAGAAAAACGCCTTTGAAGTAACTTGATGACGATCAAGTCTGTGGGATAGATGGAGCATAATATAGTCAGTTTTAAATTTAGTTTCTGCCACGTTGTTGATCATTGGAAGGTAGTGTTCCCAATTCAGTATTTCATGCTGGTGTTCGTATTTGTAACTTTGAAGATTCACTCTCTGCGCGCATGACGATAGTGTGATGATGATCTGGTATAACGTGAGTATAATCTAGCATTGGCGGCTCTTATACGGGAACGAAGGGCCTGGGCTCGGCGACTGAATAAGGATTCGGGAAGGGGCCTAAATTTAAATTCAGGGCGCTCACGAAAAACGATGCTTCGTCTTGTGGTTGTAGTAGTGGCTTCCGTTGTTGTTGTGGTTGTGGTGGTTGGCGCTTGGGTTGTTGTTGTTCTGCGTTCGTATTCTAGGAGTCCAGCTTTGCTACAAGTAGCTCCGAACCAACCATCTCTACATGTACAGCCACCAGAAACTGGGTCACAGATAGCTCCTCTCGAACATTGGCACGAAAACGAACAATTTGGTCCGTATGTTCCAGTGTTGCACACTAAAGAATTTTTAAAAGAAATAATTGTATATGTCATCATTTAAATTATTGAAATTTGTTAAATTTACAATACCTGTACCAAATTTCGTATCCAGGGTAAAAATATGGATTTGAATAGCCTCTTACCCGAGTAAATCGAGCTACTTTTTTAAGAGCAATTAACAACACAACATTTACTGTCACATATGAATTCTTAGAATGATTATTTTTCGCGTTTTAGATAAACATTCCATTCCGTTCATGTATTTACCAACAGTGTTTATAAAGCAGAAAAAGATCATCATCAAATTACCTCTTTCACATCTTGGTCCGGTGTATCCGGGAGGACAAGCACATTCACCCGTTTCCGTATCACAAGTTACGGAACCCCCACAGTCGCACGTGTTCACGCAATTAGGTCCAAATCTTCCAGCTGGGCATGCTTCTTCACATGTTGGTCCAGTCCAACCTGGCTTGCAAAGACATCGGCCAGTGTCGCCGTCACAAGATAAGAAATTCAAACATTCACATGTTTTCTTACAACCATTTCCGTAAAAACCGGCCGGGCATTCTGGAATTGGTAAAGCAAAGTTGAAGTTTTTTTCCACATGGAACAGTTAAAGGTCAGGCGATACTTGAGTTTGGAAAATTTAGAACACTTCGCCATTAAATACACTCGAATCGAGGTATTTATGCATTAACCACCGGGCTAACTAAAGAATAAATGCATGATATATAATCGAAGGCAACGTTCTGAACAATCAATGAACAAACCGAGTCCAATATTTATATTGTCGATAATATGTTTGAATTGTGCTCAATCAAAAGTAATGACTCACCGAATTGACAGTTTTGTCCATAAAATCCGGCGTCACAGGTACAACATCCGGTGAATCGATCGCATGATCCTCTGCTATTACATTGACACTGGTGTGAACAACTTGGCCCCCATGTACCAGCAGAACATTCTGGAAAGATTAGGTAAAATTACTTTCAATCTATGTTTACAAATGACAAAACAACCAGGATTTTTTCAATTATTAGGATTTTTTAGTTGCTTTATTTGCACTGATTAACGCGTTAACTTCAAACTTACCTTGATCGCAGTTTGCACCCGTCCATCCAAAACCACAAGTACATTCGCCATCTTCGGGATTAATGATTCCACCATTTGCACAAGTTTTACTTTGACTGCAGCCGGTTCCCCAAGTACCTGGTGAGCAATCTACAGAAAAAAAAACTACATTGAACATTTGGGTCAAATAATGAAAGAGTTTTTGGTGATTTTACAGTTTTTTTCTATAGCATAAATAAATGGATATTAATTTTAGTTGAGTTAAATTAATTACCTTGTTACTACTATACTCTCTATTTTATACGCACTTGATACTTAAATGTGTGGGGTTTGAGTTTAGTTTTAGAAAAACGAAAGACATTCACTAAAATGTAACTGGGTGAAATTTGAAATGTTGGCTCTTGCTAAGAGAAAACACGAAAAACTCACTTGACAAACATCCGTTTCCTGTTTTTCCTGCGGGGCATTGTGAATCTTGCAGGCATTGTCCGTTTTCATGATTGCAACGACCATTTCGTCCACAATCGCATCTCTTCATACAACTGATGCCGTAATATCCAACAGGACAAGCTGTTTATAAAATTAAAATTTTGAATACATAAACTTTCATAGGGCAACTTCAGAACTTGTCATAAAAAAAAAGATGGTGTCATGTGGAACATTTATCTCTCATTGCATTTAACTACATATTTAAAAATATAAAAATCACGTCATGTTTTTAATCTACAGTAACGTTGCAAGTTTATTTTATACATTTAAAATAAGTATAATGTTTTACACATTAGGACAAAATCAACGTACTTTCGGTGCAGAAAGATCCTAGGAATCCACCAGGACAAGTGCAGGTTCCGAGTACTGGATCACATAGTCCGCCATTCTTACATTGACAAATACTGACACAATTTATTCCGAATCGTCCGGGGGTACATTCTGCAAAACGTTGAAAATGTAAAGATAAAAATTAATTTCAGTGTTATTTTGTTGATTCTTGTCTCAGTTACTTTTCTCCGGTGAGAAAACTTTGTATAAATAAATAAAGCACTTATGATACTGTGGGCTATGGCCAATACTTTGTTTACTTATAATCAATAGGGAACATTTATGTTTTGTTCCAATGTATGTAGTAATTATATTGATTACTATATTTTAGTTACGACAGCAGAGACAAATAGCAGTAGTTGAGACGCATCGCCAAGATAAATTCATTTGTTTCATCCAGGGCGAATCCTTGTCAGTTTAAAGTATCTTAGACCTCAACACCAGTATTTTTACGATTCGCAAATTCTAATGTAATCTATACCTTGTCTACAATCTGACCCCATAAATCCAGCCATACAACTGCATTTTCCGTTGATCGGATCGCATCTTTCATTTGAAGAACATGCGCAAGAACTTTGACAATTTACCCCGAATTTTCCATTTGGGCATTCTGGAATATAAAATTGGTTAGTATATCGGACATCTGCAAATATATCACACACACTATTCTAACAAAAATAACTCACTCCGATGACATCCGGAGCCCATAAAACCTGGCGGACATTCACAACTGCCGGTTACATGATGACATGGGCTGCCAGAATCGCACATACATCTTTCGGTACATCCGGATCCAAAATACCCAGGTAGACAAGGGCGTTCACATTTAGCTCCTCTCCATCCTGGAGCACAGAAACAATGTCCATTGACACTATCGCAACCGTTCGAGTTTTCGCAATTACATTGTTGAGAACATGATGCACCGAAAGTACCAGCAGGACAAGCTAAATTGAAAAAAATCATAAAATCAAAGCGATATTAATGATGAAATTTTTACTTGGTCAAATGTATAGTTGCTAGCAATTAAAAAAAAAGAAAATGACTTAGATTATAAGATGCATACATATGCATTAGATAGGAAAGTATTAAAAAAAGCAAACAAGTTACCTTCTGAACAGTCATATCCTCGCCACCCTGGTCTACATCTACATTCTCCTGAATCGCTTGAGCAAGTTCCACCATTTTGACATGAACACGAGGCCTCGCAACCTAAACCATACTTGCCGACAGAGCATTCTGAAACAAAGTATTGAAATTGTACAAAAATGATTCAATTCCCTTCATAAAGTAGAATCGAAACTTACCCAGTTCGCATGCGAGTCCACTCCATCCAGGTGGACAAGAACATCGTCCAGTGATGTGGTCACACGAAGCTGAATTACGACAGAAACATCTGAAAGCACAGCCACGGCCGTAAAATCCTTGTCGACAATCTAAAATGAATTTATCAAACACTCAAAAAAAACATTTTGATCATGGATAGTTCTGTTACAACTAATTGAAATGGCCGTGCTATTTTTGAATAGAAAAGACGTATTAAACGCATTTATCCTAACGTGGGATTACGATTAAGTACCCGATAATATGGTTAAACGAAATGAGCTGAGAAGGTTCATTGTATTGAATAAAGAGTTAGAAATATGGATACACAAATCTTCTAATCTCGTTATACTTACTTTGATCGCATCTGGCTCCATCAAATCCAACCTCACATATACAAGTTCCCGTTATATGATCGCATTTAGCACCGTTTTCGCAATCGCAGTAATTAGTACAGTTACCTCCCCATCTGTCTGGAGCGCATTCTATATAAAATATATTCGATAAGAACGGAGTATAAAAAACATTATACGTTAGGTAAGTTTAAAGTACAATGGCATGAAATTATATACAAACTTACTCTCGTCACACCTTTCGCCAACCCAACCGGCGGGACACGTACATTCTCCCGTTATATGATGACAATTTGCCCCATTACCGCAAGCACAAGTGAGCTTGCATTCAGGTCCATAGTATCCCCCAGGACATGCTGGAAATAACATTAAATATAATATTATTAGCGTCATTTAGTATATTTTCCAAGACTTCAGAGCTCATTATCTCGATTAAAAGCCATTTTAACCTTTCCATTTTACTATATATAATTTGATAATCCTGGAAAAAATCACGGGCTTTTCAAGATGTAATAAATTTAAACGCAACAACTCAAATTACTCACGTTTGTCACAGTTGGTTCCCCGCCATCCAGCAGAACACGAGCAAGCTCCGCTTATGTGATCACACTCCGCGCCATTTTCACAAAGACATTTTTGAGAGCAATGAGCTCCGTATGTTTCTCCAGTACATCCTGCGGAGGGTAACATAAATAAGAATTAAAACTAATAAGAATATAGGTTTAGAATACTTATGCCCATTCTCACGTGAGAAAAATAATTATATCCTAGTCTAACCTTGGTCACATCTTCGTCCTTTCCATCCCGGTGCGCAGTCACATTCGCCGTCCACTGGATCGCATGTTTCTCCATTCTCACACTCGCAACGATTGGCACAATGAAGTCCCCAGAAACCGAGACCGCAAGCTAGAATAAAATGCTATGATCAGACACGCGCCCAGTAAAATCTAAGCGAAGTATGGTTTTTATCTACAAATTCGAAATTTGTCACAGGTTGTTTGGAAATAGATTCAAGTCGCAATTATCCTGAGTGAAATTACTCACAATGATTGTAAATATGTACATAGATTAAAGGTATACAAGAAAGCAATAACTAATTCGTACTTTTTTGACAATTTCTTCCTGCATAGCCAGCTTCACACACACACGAACCAGTAGTAGCATCACATAAACCATTTCCACAACTGCATCTGTTGCGACAGTCTCTTCCCCATCTGCCCTTACCACATTCTGAAATAGTGTTATGGTGATATTACTAAGATACGTCGAGTACAACATATGACACATTTTATACGGTTGATGCAAAGTTAAAATAGTAAAAAATTATAGTGAAGATACGCTCATTTCACGAAAAATAATATGGCAGAAATTGTTATAAAAATTCGCAAGTCCGTTAGCAAGGTCCCAAATGCTGTTCCCATATTTTGTAAATTAATTTCCCAATTACATTACTTCGAAGAAAATAGATTTTCGCGTTTATTTGTACCTTGATCGCATCTAGTTCCAACATATCCAGCAGTACATTCACATACTCCAGTTGCTTTGTTACATTGCCCGTTGTTGAAGCATTTTCTACAAGCATTGGCGCAGTTTGGTCCCCACGTACCATCGGGACAATCTATAAAAAAAAGTTCCGTCATTAGCATCAATTTACGATAAAACCATGGCATTGAAGAGTTCAAATGTGAACAATTTAAAAGCTTTACGTAACAATTTCATAATAACAAAAATAACGAACAATTAAATTACATTTAAAATTTAAAACATGCATTTTTTTGAATTTTTGCACCCCTCGTTCGTCACATATTGAAAATAGAATCGGAAAATAACAAAAACAAAATTCTATTACCTTCGTCACAATGATGTCCTGTTTTTCCATTTTGGCATTGACATTTTCCTGTGATAGTATCGCATTCGCCTCCATCTGCGCAGTTACAAATTTCCAAACAATTTCGTCCCCAAGTACCAGCATAGCAAGCTGTTTGAAAGAATATAATATGAAGCAATAATTTATATAGCCTAAATCGGAATTGCATATGAAAGTTTATTGCTTAAATATTAAACTTACGTTGTGTGCAGTCGGCCCCTTTGAAACCTTCCGGACATTCACGTTGACAGATGCCAGTCACATGATCGCAGGCAATACCTTCCACACATGCACATTTTTGCAGACATTTTGAGCCGAAAAACCCTGGTCTACATTCTGGAAAGGAGAGCATTTAGTCTTAGACCACGATTACACAGTTCGTCACACACCTAATTTGACCAAGTTTGGCTCCGACCATCATTATGCTTACGAATAGTATTGTGTTGTAACTAACGGTATTGCTATTTACCTTCTTCGCATGTTGGTCCTGTATAACCCGGCTTACATTTGCATTGTCCGTTTTTCTCGCTGCATCCTATGCTGTATTTCTTGCTACATTCACATTGATAGATACATCCAGGTCCATGTGACCATCGAGGACAAGCTGTGAAAGAGTGAGAAATGAAAATTGGTGAAGCAGTATTACTTTGCATAATCTTGTCGAACAAAACAACAGTAGATCATTTGTGGATGTGGAATATCTCGAATCCACACTCTATGATTTAGATAAATCTGATCCAAGCTGAACCTTCTTAACTTGCCATTTGTTCGCGAATCTGGGATAAATGCTATTTTGATTGGTTGGTAGGCGTCTGTGATATAATTTTAATATGAACCATAGTACTAAACTACCAGTCCTTTTTTTGAATACAAGGTTCGAACTTAATTCGGTCTTATCATCATCCATGTATTTTAAAAAGATATAAATATAGGAAAATTTACAATGACTTTCAATGGGGTTTATAATAAAATGTTTTGCTCACGTCTGTGACATCTTTTTCCATAACGACCCGGATCACAGAAACAAGCGCCAGTCAATCGTCTGCATCTCCCTTGGTGGCAATTGCATCGTCTGTCGCAAGAAGGTCCAAAAAATCCTTTCGGGCAGCCTGCACGGTTTTTATTAAATTCAATTATGAAAAAGCGATAGAAATTATAAACAGACATAATGTGTATTAAAACTTTAATGGTGCGGTCAAGTTGTAAATCTGGATTTGGTTCAGATTACTCTGTAGTCTATGTATATATAGTTTTTATGCCACGTTATTAAATCTTAAAGTGAAATTGATTTCATTAGTATTTGTTCCGATGTACAGGAACTATGCAGACGACTAAATAAATAGTTTTATTGGTATCATATAATGTAAGGTTTCCTTTCTTCGAAATGATTGTTGAAAAGATTACTTAAAACGTTTCCCTGTCTACGGTAGCAAAACGCCCGAACCTTACCGTCTTCACAAAATTCTCCTTTCACGTCTGGTGGGCAAGTACATGATCCAGTCACTGGGTCGCATTCTCCATCGTTCTGACATTGACATGTTTGTGCGCAGTCTTGGCCGTATTTGTTTCCGCTGCAAGCTATTGAAATTAAAAATTAGGATAAATGATATTTTAAACAAAGAGTATTTACATTTTGTTAAAGGGTGTCAAGCTGAAAATTAAGCTATCGTCTGGCACTGGTTATTAAATGCAACTTGCAAGCATGGTATGTCATTGGCGTTGCATTCTTCAGTTTATATATTTGAATAACCACTAAACCCTAATCACTATCATAGCTCGCGTGGCCTAACAATTGAAACGACCTCAAGAGCATTCAATGAGCGCTTGAGAATAGAAATTGGGTCCAAAGTCTTTTTTTTTTAATTTAAACGCGCATTGCTCTAACTTCAATATAATTACAACGCGCACAAGCTTTTCAATTAATATTAATTTTGAACTTTGTTCTATCAAAACGCTTATCCATGCCAAAACCGCTCCAGTTATGCAAGAGTACAAGACCTACTTTCGCTGCAAACTATTCCTTCATAGCCAGGAGCACAGTCACATCCACTAAGATCGTGTTTGCATGTTCCATGTGAACAATTTCCACAATTGTAATTGCAGTCAGCTCCAAACCGACCTGGTTCACACCTGAAAAACAATCAGCCATTGCAGTTAACGAGAATTACCAAAATTTGATGATTATTCTTGATTTGAAGAGAACTATTTTATGTTTACAATAAGCTGATATCGCAATAAAGCCACTTTTAATTACTGATTTAGATGTTTTCACACGTTTTTTGCTTTAAACATGAATTTCGAGAGATATATGGAATGATAAAATTCATTAAAATATGTTAAGTGACATTCTCACACAGAGATAACCAGGAATTTACTACAGCAAACTTAAGACGAAAAGTCATTAACGACAATTCTGATATTTGTATCGAAAAATGCCGGGGATATTTCATTTGTTTGGTTATTTTTAGCACTACTATGCTAATTACTTTGAACCAAATATTTGTTGATTTAAACATAGAAAGTAAGCATTTAAGGGATTGAGTTCTGGATCAGATTCTAAGCATTTCACAGTTGGACCTTGGTACGTAATTGACAATTTAAATTTTACCCCAATTTTGACCTGGTGAGGAGATTAGATTGATTAAACTAGATAATATATTATCAAATAAATCTGACATTATCACGAAGTCTTTAACGTGAGAGTAATGCTAAAACTGTTTAGGTTTTGTCAAAAGCAAGCTATGAAATAAGTTTATACGATTCGTGATAATTAAGAAACAAAATATATTCTAGTTACCTGATTATCATTCCGAACGCGCCAAGTTCTCCAAGCGAATCTTCTTCTGGTAATAGGCGTACTGGTTTTGGTTCTGGCTGAAGTAAGATGACTGGCCGACGAGCAATATTCAAAACTGGTTGTTTTGGAGGTGCAAGGAATGTCCGTTCAATTTCTAAAATAAAAAGTAATATAGCTTGAAGAATTTTATGCACAAAATGAATACATACACAGTCGAAAAGTATGACTTACCTATACAAGTGCGACCGTCTCCACGCAATATATATCCTCCTCCGCATGTACATTGGTATGATCCTTTACTATTCACGCATCCCTGATCACAACCACCATTGTCACTAGAGCACTCGTTAATATCTGTGGATAGAAAAAAAATGTCGTGTCTAATACCAGTTGCACAGCGCTTGGAAATTTTATTTCATATTATTTTCTGTTGTGTTGTACTTTAATTTAGTTCATATTACATTATATAAATCAAGCGGTAACATTATTTGACGCCAAAGGAACGTGTTACCATAGCAACCGAAGACAATATTTGATTTCCCAAAATTAACTCTGTTTTGAATCATTCAATCGATGCAATATCGGCTGATTTTACCCAAATGTTCTCAAAGAACCAAATGTTTTACTACACGGTATTACCACTCTTTATTGAAATCAGACTAATTTTGAAAAACTCTGGACCGAAATATCGTAACCCCTATTTTATCACTAAAACGAATACTTACCGATACATCCACATCCGTTATTTGGATCTTTTTGAAATCCGACGAAGCAACTACATTCGTAACCACCAGGAATATTGTTGCATGATTGTTGACAGCATTTACTACCATCTCTGCATTCATCGGTGTCTTAAATACAGGTTGCAATGTGATAATTCTTATTTTCTAACAATATTTCGAATATATAGCTTAAATATATTAAAGATAAGATATGTTGATGAACCGTATAGTAGTTAGTAAAATTAAAGAATCATCAATGTCCCATTGCTCATCCTGAGCACACATTCTGATGCAAATTATGGGTGAGCTATGTCGAAGCAGAACGATGCTGGTCTACTTTAAGCCCAGTAAGTTTAAAATTCTCACCTCTGCAGCTCTTTCCGTCCACTTCAAGTTCGTAACCGGGTTTACAAGAGCAAACTGGTCCGGATTCATGTGCATTACATATGTGCATACACCCTCCATTGTCATTGTTGTAGCAAGATTCTATAACTGTCATTTCGATACCTAAATAAATAATAATAAGTTAAATAAAAGGATAATGTAAAACAAAAGCAATCCTCTATATTTCATTTGTAGCTTCAAACACAGAAAAAAAATGTAGGAAAACGTTTACTGAAAAAATTGTTTCCACCGAAGATATAATCTCGAGGTATAGCCAAACTGTACTTAAAGTAAAGAGTTTCGCAAGAGCTAAATGACGATATGGGCGTCTGTCTAGGAATCAAAGTTCGTTGGTTGTTTTTTGATATGAGCACTGCGAATAGATGTGGACGTGACAGATCAGCTACGATGCAGTATACTACACAAAAGCCTATTGTATCAGTATTCAAACATAAAGTTCGATCGTCACCACTGTGTTTGCTACGTTGTCAGAAGGAAAATAGTGCTGAATAAGATATATTATGTAGTTATTATTAGATAACGTAAAGCATTGCCTACGAGATAAAGTAATAAAATCAATATTTGGACAAAGTTTATTGTCTGAAATTGCGGATTTTTTTTTTTTCAAATATAGCTTCTTCATTTTAAAGTTTTAAAGGTCCAAGGCTACGACTATTCCATTTCGTTACATTTGCACCCGGATCACCCAAATGAACTGAGGAATTTGCAGAGGCTTTTATGATTAGAGCACCAAATATTTACTGTTGCATTTAATAGTCAATTTTATACCAGGTTGTAATATTTGCCACCTGTAACTTTAACCTTAATCTTTGTTCTGTTTGCACGTCCTTGTACAGTAATGTTTAATCTATATGTGTAATTAAATTCGCATAAAAATTTTTGCCCCATCGTGGCGGTTTGTAGTTCAATGAATTATGTAAATACAAATATTTTTTCACTCATTTTCGTGGCGAATAACCAGTTCATTATGGAGTTTTGTGTCTCCTTTTTAAGCTTCGGCCTTATTAGTGTCGCACGAGACATCATTGTTCAAAAGTGATCACATCTCAGTTTATACCAGCATGCATGAAGGGCAAGAACCCGAATTACTTTGAATAATTATCGAAAAATGAAAATAGATCAATCAAAACATAATATCTGAAACGGACTTATGGTATGAAAATACAAAATTTTACCACGGAAACAAAACTGAAATATCGTGAACCGAAGATGATGTTTATGGGTGTTTCGCTACAATTTATCGTGTCTTAGGACAATACTTTCTGCCAGGTCGTAAAGAAGAAAAAATTCAGAAATCACAATGCGCCCATTGTTACAAAGCTAATAGTGATGAATCATCGATATGCTGATGCGTCAGTTATACGGTCTAGGCTGATAGGTTAGAAGACTGTGTATGAAATCTTTAACAAACTTAATTCTAGCGGATCAACCCCGCGGTTCCCGTGAACTCAAAGCGCAACCAAATTTCTGTTGCCAGATCTTGATTACATCGGTATCAAATACTTACATTCAAGGCGGAAGCGATCAAAGTGAGAAAACGCTAACTAAGGAGTTTACACAGCACAATTAAAATATTTTCAGAACAAAAAATTTTTTGGATTGGTTTCTATCGAGGTGAGCTCAATTTAAATTCACTGCTACCGTTCTTTGCCTAATACTTACGACGCCACGGATGATGTGACTCGACGTGCAAACGTCAAAATATTTCTCACTTGCACGCCTCATATGTGGTGAGGAAACATATTATTATTGAACTGGAACCAAAACATGAATCAGGAATGTCAGACATAACTAATATGAGATAAATTCCGAGGGTTTCAAAAATTGAGAGTGACAAAAGCAAAGTCGAGTGAAATTTTGGTTTCCCCGCTACAGACATATTCATAGTGCTTTCGGTGGTAGTTAAGTTAAGGGTGTAATCTTTTGAATTCACTGGAAAAATCTATCAGCAACTAAAAAAATGCGTACCAATAATATGACACGAGAATGATCAGTGTACCCCAATGACCCCTAAATAGATTAACTGAAATTCATAGCTTGTTAAAACTATGTTCCGGTCAACTTAGTTTTTGAGTCGCTCTTGTTGCCACAAATCTTATAGATTCGGACAAGCCTAATTTACTCATATTCAAGGCGGCTACTTCCGCCGTACAGTGCCGTTCAGAATGATAGAAAAATGCTTTAGTAATGACAATGTTTTGGTCACCATATATTTCAACTGTAAGAATTTGAAACAAATTCACAGTCTGGTATATGAACTAGTGATTAAGTATAGTTGCCACTGAACTGAAGATGATAATAAAACGAAAAGGTTTTTAATCACACGCTTCCATGTAATATATGAGAGTGATACACATACAATGTCACGTTACCAACAAAAAGAAAACATTCTCTTCTCCTGTTTGTTCAAGACCATGACCTTCTACCTCGTTTACAAAGCAAATATACTATAAGTGGGGTTACTGGAGGTCGAAGAAGTAACAGGTGAAAATACTTCAAAACACACTTCTAACTGCATTTGAGATAAAATGTAACAGCTGTTGCGTCAAATCAAATGAAGTTATCCCTACGTCATAGCGTATACTTCCAATGGTTAGCTACACCTCCTGCGACAAAGTGGAGTCCTACATTTCCTTGTACATCATTTATTTGGAAGCTAAGGCCAAACAAACAGGATTCTCTGCCGAGTGGAATTCTTTATACGAAGTAGACAGGCTAAATCAGCATAGTTAATTCAAACGTATGAAGCAACTACAGTCTACATCAATAGTCAATTGCATGATTCACTATTTGAGTCGTAATAGTTTAAAAACGAATAAATTTACTCACGGTAGCATTTCTTTCCATCGGAACCAAGTTCATAACCTGGATTACATCTGCAGGCATATGACCCCTGCGTATTTAGACAAATGTGAGAACATCCTCCATTGTTCACTGCGCATTCATCAATATCTGTATATATTAAACGTGGACCAGATGTAAGAAAGTGCACTAATGTTGTTATATGATTATATATGTTAAACAAAAGGCAGACTTAAAATAGGCTGATGAGTTTTTTTACCGTATGTTCTCAAGAGAAAATTCATGTAATCTCAGTATTCATTAAGTGCGCCTTTGATAATTTTGCTCTTTGTGCACAAAAATTGCAATTCTGAAATATTTCACGAGATGTCTTAAACCCGCCTAAAGCTATTATTATTGAATCCTTTATTGGTTTGCAAAATAAGCGACGCCACAAAATACCTGCTGTTATTTTCTTTGTGTAGCGTTGTGCTTTTGACGGTAAAGACGCAAAATAGATATCAGGTAATAGTTAAAATATATCTTACCGACGCATGATCTATTATTAGCTGTGAGACGGTATCCCTCGAAGCACGAACATTGCGCGCGTATACCGACCGCCAAACATTTGTGGGCACATCCACCGTTGTTGTCAGCGCACGGGTCGATCTCTAAAATTCGAAGAAATTGTCATGATTTTGGAAAATTACGGGTTAGTGTAATACAATAAAGCCATAGTAAAATTACATAAATTTAGCAACAATGAATACTTTTAATATGGGCATAATACGAAAATATGTCAGTTCGTTATTGTATTATCCAAGAGAAGAATTATGATCAGATACGAACGAGTACGAATCATAGCCTGAAACAGGTGGATAGAGAAACAAATTATAGATCTACATTCCATTTTCAAATCACCGGAAAAGTTGGCGCGTGCCATTGCGTGCTTTCAAAGCAAAACGAAGAAAACAAAAATAAGAAACGTACTGTCACAATCTTTTCCATTTGTATTCAAAATGTATCCAGGTTCACATTTACAAAAATATCTGCTTTTGCCTTGGGTTTCACATATATGTGCACATCCTCCATTCCTAACGAGGCAATTCTTTATGGCTGTTCAGAAGAATTATATAAAGTTGTAATAAAAAAGAAATACATTGGAACACTACTTGTTGTAAGAGGACAAGAATGTTAACAAATTCCGAGTGATTTCAAGATAATATAAAGAAATAGTTTAACATTCCAGATTTAGGCTTACACATTTCGACAAAGTATAGTTTAGATTATGATCGCTTGAAGTCACTCAAAAGTAGTAACGACTAAATCTACGTACGAATGCACGTTCTTTCATCTGTGTGTAATTTGTATCCTTCCTGGCATTGACAGTAAAATCCGCCTTGTATGTTTACACAGAGTTGAGAACAACCACCGTTGTGTCGTAAACATTCGTTGTTATCTGTGAGGCAAGTGGCAATGAATCATTACATAAAAAATAAATTTATAATATGATGTACGAATCATTGAGCAAACGCCCCAACAAACTTTCAAATGGGTCAGGCCGTAACAGGCTAAAACGAGTTTTAATGTCAGTTAGAATGGATGTTAAAAACAAAATACGGAATAGTTCTGTCAAAGAAGTAATGTAATCTTGCAATGTAAATAAATATTATCCCTTTAAGAGTTTAACTCAAGAATGCTGCATTCTTTCGTTAAATCTTTTTCCGCTTATTTTTACCTTTTTGTGGCTTTATTTCAAACAAGTTTTCAGAGAATTATTTCTATGAGCATTCGCATAATTTCGCCTCTGCGACTATTGAGAAGCGGCGATAAAACGAAAAGATCATTGTCAAGATGAAGTGGCACACTTAAGTGTAGCGGAATTTTTATCTCCGTCGCATTGAAGTTCATAAGTCACATTTTTGATTTTAGGCGTTATTATTGCCCAATATTAAAGAATGACTGCATGGGTGACTATTATCAATTTAAAACAATCTCGAATCTCAGCTCGGTGCTCCCGAAGTATGCGAACCAAGATGGCGGAAATCGGAACGTAACATGGGTAACAGGTTAGGGTTAGGCGATAATTTTCTTCCAATTTTCCTTATTTTAGTCTTATTATCAGTTCGAAGACTAGCTAAGAGCCTCCCGTAGTATTTATACCTAAAATTATGGCCTAACCCTAACCTAGTACACATATTACATTCCGATGTCCGCCATCTTGGTTCGCATACTTCAGGAGCCCCCTCAGCTCTGTGCTGTACGTCACTGGCGGACCGCGGTCCGAATCCGAACCTTTCGGGTATTCGATTCGAACCGCGCCTAATTCTTTATTTTGAATCATTAGCCCCACTTTTGAAGTTTCCTTTTATAAACTCACGGCCAAGGAATTGCGTTGATAAGGTTGCCAAAATATGATTTCTGGAAGGACCGGACCCAAATATTTTTAAAGTTTTGTATGCGAATCTTCGGTTAAATAATAGAATGCCCTGCAATAAGTAATTGGTTGGCGTTTTTTTTAAAGTGTCCATCTATCGTCAAGAATAAAATATCTTCAAATAGTACGCCAGACTAACTATTTCATCCGGAAATGTGGACATATTGTGATTTATTTATGACATTTTGAAAGCCCGTGAAAATTTGGTGGCATAAGATGATGATGATCACTAACTAGGTCAGTCTGTACTCGATATCCTTGTTCTTCGAACAGAGAGGTCACAATAAAAATCACGGGGTGACCATGCATAGCTTGAAGCTAACACGGTCAAAAAGATTCAAAACATTTCACAACTTTTTCTATACTCTCTTACGTAAAAACATGTCATATCATCTTCTCCTTAGAAGATACTATTTCCAGAGTGGCTTATTTTACGGGAACCAAACACTTTTCAAAACCCTCGCGTGCCAAAAACCTATCACGGTTCACGGTTGCCAAATTTATCCAAGTCAGCAAGAACCATTACTTCAAAAAATCGTGGAAAATTTCAGTAATAACAATGGTAACCGGTTAATGAACGTTCCCGTGCAGTACAGCAGCACATAATTGACCGAAACATCCCATCAAGCAAATGTTCATGATAATCATCCATTAATCGCTATGTACTTTAAGTACAATTCGCTGACAATTCGTACCGAAAGTAAAAAATATGACCATTCGAATAACACGTTTTGTCATGACTGGTACCGCTTCGTTGACATAATATACTTTCCCGCAATCTTGATGGATGACCCGTTCAAGTTTCAAATGCTTCAGGGATACCTCATCCCGGGTGAGCATTTTACTCAGTTCTTGGAACAGACATTGTGGCTGATAGTAATATAATAATTGTTCAGACTTTAGAGTGCTCCTAATTCTAGCTCAAAGTTACCAGAATTCGGAAATTGATGAATTATTTTTTGTCTATGCAATATCATGAATAATTTGTTGTTATAACTCTCAAAAATTTACAAAACTTTTGAAAATATCAACATACCGATACAATTCTTTCCATTTGAATCCATTGTGAATCCTTCTCTGCACTTACATCGAAATCCACCAAATGAATTACAGCATATCTGACTGCATCCGCCATTATTTGTGGCACATTCGTTCAAATCTGTACAATCAAAAATTTGCAATTTCAAAAGCGAGAACGACAAATTAAAGGTGACTTAATATTATCTGCCAAATTACAAACTGTATCTTAGCGTGATTCTACATAAAAAAGATCTTTGATTGGTTTCGGAGCATTGTAATTGAAATCTTCAACATTATTGGGAACATAGATTTGACCTTTATGTAAAATACTGCCAGCAATTCATCACGTAGTCTGTGTGATTATTCATCAATTTGATTCAAAATGGAATTTTCTAGGTTTCTGTGAGTACGTGCGGATTACATCTTCACCATTTCACTATTTCAATATGTGGAAACTCATCATGAATTAAAATTCGAATTCTATTCTTGAACCTCTATATTAATTCAATTCTACCTTGGTCAATCAAAAATTTAAGATTTCTTTCATTTACAAAATTAGTATCACCGGTGTTTCACTCTGACGCAAGTGAAATCCAAATTGCATTCATCTTTAATAAAAATACAGTTAAAAATAAAACAACTTTTAACAGGAAATACGTCTGTAGTTATTCAATGCTTAAAGTCTAATCAATTAAGGGGTGATGGCATTTAATACTATTAAAGGTCTATTTATAAAGTCGAAAGTTTACACAATTATAAACTACTAAACTATTGAATTTATATGAACTGCGTCTCAACTCACGCGCGTCGTTAACAAGCGCAGTTAGGTATCGCAGTATTCGTGATTTATTATCAGGAAATATCAAGCTAAAACCAAGATGACAAGGAGTTCTTCATACATCTTTCATCATGTCGCAAACAAATAAGTGGCAGTCGTCGCGTCACCCATTTTATTGCTAGCAAATAGTCATAAAATGACTAAGGTATGCCTAAGCGAACTTGTTACGCTGTTCATCAAGGAATTACCATAGTTTATTTTAGACTGTACTTGTACGTTGTTATACATCATAAAATTGAATTAATGAAAACGTATGTATGTCCAACATATAACCGATGTCAAATAGTTTGCTGTTATGCGATAATTTTATATTCATAAACCATCAAAATAATATTTCCAAATATCAGCATCTTCTGATCTGGAGAACGTAATCATCGTAATTAATAATAGGTCTTTATCACGACATATGGAATGCATGTGGCAAAAATGTATTCTGAATAAAAATCTAACCTGTTGCTCGTCTCTTAGATCTTCTTGGTTGCGCTCGTACCTGCCCGTTTGTATTTGAAACTTGAACATAAAATCTTCCTTCGCGTCTACGTTGTGGCAATGGAACAATTACTACAGGTTCAGATGGCCGACGAAGTTGTGGTCGAACAGGTTCGTCAACCTTTTGCTTTTTCCCAATCAAAGGCAGATACGTATCTGCCAATGCATTGTCATCTCTTTCTCTTTCGCCAGCAACGTTTTGTAAAGAAACATCTGGACCACACTGTTCCTCGTCGCCGTAAGGACTGAGGTCATGATACCCCCAATATTGTGAGTTGACACCGATAATTACAAATAAAATAGCATAGATCGAAAGGCTTATCATCTTTGCCATGTTCTTTCGATATACCCTAACTATTTGATACTCTGTGTAAAATATAAATGATACCAAATTTGCAAACACCAGTCGGAAGGTTAAATAAATTCCTAATATGTTTCAGTTGAGGTGAAATTTGGCAGTATAGCTTCAAGGCAGAATACCGTTACGAAACAACGTCCCACCAATAAAAAACAGATTACACATTTTTTTAGGTATGTAAACTTCAAAATTATTACCAACAACAAATAGATACTTAAACTTAAGTAATTTAGTGAAAGTAAGAATGTAATTATTGTCTAAATCCAATGACAAGATTCAATCTTTTGTCACGAAAATAGTTCACTTAAGTTTTACCAGCCAGCTTTAAGAAAATAGCTGGGTATTAGGTCATTAGTGGTTCAACTTGAGTGGTAGCACTTAAGATCCTGGAATGTGATTATAAAATACAACCGTTGTTTTTGTGGATCGAAATATCGTGCTGTCCACGTTTAATATTTAAACCGCCATAAGTTTGCTTAAGGCTACGAAAATCAACATCTGTTGCAATTGGTGAGCATGTACCATCACTCACTCACGTAAAGACAATGTTATTATAGATAATAACAAAAATAAGCAAAATTCATTAGGTAACAAGATCAATCGAACACAAATAGCCTTCGGTTTTAACAGAAAAGATTTTCCAAATTTAAAGTCATTACCCACTTACCCACTGCGTTATGCTTACTGTTCTCACTTATAGTTTATTTTTTTTTCATTGAAACAGGTTCGAGAACTTTTGGCCCAATTAACAATAAGATATGATGATAAAGGGCTCAGTCATAACTATATAATACAGCAAAGTGAAGCCTTTTATCCCAATATTTGTATACACAGTAAACAGTCATTTTGTAATGCATCATCATCTAATATTACCCTAATTGTGTGCCTAGACCCCGCTATGGAAACGCATCCAGGGGTCAATAGGGTGAATTGCATTGTAATTATAAGATTCTTCGTGATATTTTCCCAAGCACAAATTTCATTGAATTTACGTTAGAAATTCAGTACCACAGTGTACATGCTATTTCAAGTCAAATTACTTTGTGGAAATCATTTTTATTTGTCTTCGCTCAAACCAAATCAGTTTTTAAAAGCAACTAGAGACAAAAATTATTAAAAACGATGAAATTTTGTTACGCGAAGGACTATTCTATAAAAACTGGTGGGTGTAGCCTACACGAAAACCGTAAAATTAATTCGCTCAACAAAGCTATTTCCGAAATCTAACGAGCTCTTGTCTCGTAAAAGCCAGACAGCTGACATGTCGCGTCACGGTGGCGGCGCTTGCGCTCCAGGTGACACGACGTTCAAACAATGAAATACCTTAACGAAGAAAGGCAAGGTATTGGCTTTGTATTTGCAACTAGGAAACGATTCATAGCGACTCCCGGCATGGCCAGGTTTCCGACAGCGCGGTTACGTGTACAGATTTAGAAAATTACCGCACCATAAGTTTAAATTCGTACCAATTGAGAATGATTGCTTCCTAAGCTGCATAATCATCATATGCCTCATTCCGCGTTAATACATGCAGACAGCCCATTCATGCCAAACTCCAAAGCACGAGTTTACGAGCTAAATTTCAGGAAACCTGAAATATGCGATAGTAGTCTAAATTAGATTTACGCTGCTGAGAGAAAATTCTGTCACATATTGACCCCTCAATGCTTCAAACTCTGAAACTGCTCAAAAATAAGAGCGTCCCCTTAATGGTATTGTCGACACCTACCTGTGCGAAAAACAAACGATCTTGATTCAATAATACCACTTACTTCGATGTTATTAGACATGTTCTCAAATAGGCAATCTCGCATATGCTCAATTGATTTGCATGTTCAGTAAAGTGTAAAATGTTGTTAGTAATAGTTTTTTTTTCTCTATACACGTGGTTATAATCTTGAATTCTGTTTCTAAATTGAGGTCACATCAAAACTTTTAGTTGTGATATATAGGCAAAAATTAACGCTGCTTCGATTCTGACTGAAAGAGCAGGCTAAGATACCAGACAATCAGTGAATGACATATTATCGCGTAAAAAACATTCTCATGACAAACTTATGTAACATGACATTCTCATTCCCAATATTCCGTTTTTTCGATACATATTGCATAGCTATAGACAGTTGCAGGTATGTAATGTGCGAGTGCCTAGTTCTCTAAAGCGTAATCAGATTCAAAATTACCGGAGACGTTTATGTGATAACTGTTTACGTCATAAATCTTACTTTCCTGTTTTGAAAAAAAAATTACCTTGAAAATATGACTCCACAGATTTGCGTTGCGGTCCACTATTATATACGCTGACAATACAGATACAGTGTCCTATATTTGTCTCTAGTAAAATCGTGGTGTACTTAGAGCCCGCTTTGCACTGTTAAACAAAGAATAGAAAGACGACAAAAACAAACAACACCCTAAGTTTGTATTGGGCGTATCTGCGTGATTCGCGTAGTCTCGTGTACAAATAGTAATCTCATTTTGTGAAGGTGGTTGGTTACGCCGTGGCGAGCACGGAATTTCAACTAGGCAATTTAGTCTGATCTTTTCTATAGTTTGTAATGGATACATTGGTAACAACCGTTTATGAATCAAAAATCTGATATAAGCCTCAATCTCAGTGCATGAATGTCAGTTTCATATTTGGAATCATCTCGTTCGTATTTAATAAGATCCATAACCAATCAACGACTTTAATATTTGAAATCTTATGAAAAGTAAACTATTTAATAATATTCACACGTTAAATTCAAATTTATTGCCGAATTATAGGTTTTTAAGAAAATGGGCTATTTAAATTGAAACTAACTTCCATCATTTCACAGAAACGAAAATTTCTGCATAGCTTGGAAACAGAAAGATAGTTCTCAATGCCAAAAGAGTACTACTGCTTTATAGGAGCTTAATGATCCCAACAGAATGTTTTTTAGAATTACGGTACAAATTAATGTACGACTTTTGACTGTCTTGTAGATTCCAATCCAAATTTCTATATCACAATGATTTGAAGCGCTCAAATCAAATCCGAAAACTTCACTTGAATGGACTGGGTTCAATGGTGGTACTACAATCATATATATATTAATAACTCACTTCTACTATCGGATAAACGAAAACCAATAATAATATAGAATTACATCGGAGGCAAAACCAATATTCTGGCCCCTGTTCTAGTACACTTCATCTGATCCCCATACTCCATTCCATCCTCGACTAAGCAATTTCAAATAAACCAGCCTATTCTCCATTGGGAATTCTAGATTGTAATGATAAAAAAAATGAGTTTTAAAAATGCAGAGTAACCAAATTTTATTGCAAGAAAATTTGGTATAATTATCAAATGCACTTATAAAATCATGCTCTACCATCATTATAAATTTACTTGAAACTAATCGAAGTACTATGTGAAATGGTGGAAAATAAAAATATCTGACGGAGTACCTAAATTCATGCGCTTTTTGTATGTCTTGACCCTGTCGACCTGAAGCTACAACTAGCGCCCTGTGTAGTTTTGCGTCCAATGCCGTACAATATATATGGAGCGTTTAAAATGAGAGAGTGAAAAAATCCCACACAGGTAATGAGCGTCAACGCAACTTTGTGCCCGAATTTACTTTCAAAAGATCAGCAGTTAATAAAAACACTTTTATTTGATGTTTCCACTGCGAAAGGTACAAGAATATATTTGCTAAAGTATGCGTTAGCTGCACTAAAATTTACTTAACTTGAACATATAGAAGACAGAGGGAGAAAAACAAACTAAAGTGTACTTGTGACTAACAGTTGAGGTTGCGTGAAACTAACTACCTTTCCTTGCTCTCTATGCCTTTGCGCAGGTGGATCCGTATGCGTATTACGCAAGGATGCTGTAGCAAGAGTGTAAATGGCTATTCTATTCAATTCAAGAGTCTTGCTGCACACGAACACAAATATATTTCTGTAACGTTTCGTCTGACCGAGGTTAGACTTCTTCAGACAAGCATTTTACATTTTACAAAAATGCTTGTCTGAAGAAGTCTGACCTCGGTCAGACGAAACATTACAGAAATATATTTGTGTTCGTGTGCAGCAAAACTCTTGAATTGGATTAAATGTACTTGTTTTTACTTCAAATTTGTCGTTATTTCTCAAGTTTTAATAGACTCGGTTATCAGTAAAAAGTGGATACTGGTCGAGACATTTCTGTTTTAAATTCGTATTTTTTCAAATCCAATTTTCAACTTCATGTTAGTCAAAGAGTGAAGACGAAAAAATTTGTTTCTTGGAATAAAATCAGCAAATTTTGATACTGATACTTCGAACTAAAATATTCGAACCAAACCATTCGAATGTCAAATCCGAGACTAGTCATTTATACGAAGTGGTGCTAAATCCTGGAATAGCGAAATTATTTTAGCAGGCGTCCCTAACCTTTGAAAACTCGAGATGATTATTTTGTTGATGAACCACCTTTTCAGAATGATATTTTTCCGAAATGTTTGTTTGTTCATTTTATACTCAAGTAAGAAATTTAAACGACATATCGGTGACGCGCGGATGTAAAATTTTATGGAAGTTATGGATACTTCCCTAGATTTTTATAGCCCATAACTGTTGCTCACTGTTTACCCTCCTACGTATAGTGATGTTTTACACGACAGACACGCGATTTACGGTCAATGCCTCGGCAATCGACGTATTGACATACACTTTGATACGTACTTCGCAAATTCGATTTTGTTTATGTCGCTTTCGTGGCACTTACTTCAAGGTGACCGTACATTTGAACTCACGTACATTTGCTCCCATGTGTATATCCGCGGGTTCAATCTATATGCGGGTGCTGAAACCCATGGGTTGAGGTTAGTATGGGTTCAAATATCCGTAAAACAAAACGAAAAAATTCTATAGAAGCAATAGTATGCAGGTGCAATTGTCGTGGCTTCAAATGTACGTGGGTTCAAATGTAATGGAACCTTACTTCAATGCTGGCAAGAATTTAACGTCCAAACTGGTTAACTCTTTGTAAATGACTTCCAAGGAATCA